TGGTGAAGGGTGTGGAAGACCATACCAGGCTGTCTGCCCCCTGAAGGCACTTACAGAAGAATTGCTGTTGCTTCTGTTAGGTGCCAACAGGTCGCTTCCGACTCATAGCCACCCTGTGTACAACAGGATAAACACTGCCCAGTTTTGTACCATCCTCACAGTTGCTTTTAGTTTTGAGCCCATTATTGCCACCAATGTTTCAATCCATCTTGTTAAGGTTCCTCTCTTTGACTCTGACCCTCCACTCTACCAAACGTGATGCCCTTTTCCAGGGTCTGGTCCTTCCTGACAACGTGTCCAAAAGAAAAGAGATGAAATCTCACCATCCTCACTTCTAAGGAACATTCTAGCTGTACTTCTTCCAAGACAGCTTTGTTTGTTCTTCTGGTAGTCCATGGTACTTCACTATTCTTCACCAACGCCATAATTCAAATGCATCAATTCTCCTATGGCATTCCTTATTCATTGTCCAACTTCCACATACATATGTTGTTGTTGTTAGGTGCTATTAAGTCAGTGCTGACTTATAGTGACCCTATGCACTACAGAGCAAAACACTGACCAGTCCTGCGGCAGCCTCATCATCATTGCTGCATTTGAACCCATTGCTACTGCCACTGTGCAAGTCCATCTTAGTTGGGGGTCTCCCTCTTTTTCTCCAACCCTCCACTTTATCTAACATGATGTTCTTCTCCAGGGACTGGTTTCTCCTGATAATCTGTCCAAAATATGGCACTATGGGCTCATGCACTGGACTGCAAGGTCAGTTTGAACCACAAAGTCAGCAGTTCAAGCTTACCAGCCGCTCCTCGGAAACCCTATACAGGGTCGCTATGAATCAGAAACAACCCAAAGGCACTTAACAACTATATGAGAGACGAAGTCTGGGATCCTGGCTTCCAAGCAGTATTCTGGCTCTATTTTTTCCAACACAGATTGGTTTGTTCTGGCAATCCATGTTAATTTTATTATTTTACTCCAACACTATTAACTCAAAAGCATCAATTCTTCTGCAGTCTTCCTTATTCACTGTCCAATTATCACATGCATATGAGGTTATTGAAAATACCATGACTTGGGTCAGGCACACCTTAGTCCTCAAACTGACATTTTTGCTCTTGAACATTTTAAAGAAGTCTTCTACAGCAGATTTGCCTAATGCAATATGTCATTTGATTTCTTGATTGCTGTTTCCATGAGCGCTGATGTTGATCCCAATAAAATGAAGTCTTTGGCAGTTTCAATCTTTTCTCCATTTATACGGTTGTTGTTTATTGGTCCAGTGGTGAGGATTTTTATTTTCTTTACATTGAGGTGCAACCCATACCAAAGGCTGTGGTCTTTGATCTTCATCAGCATGTAGTTTAAATCCTCTTCACTTTCAGCAAGCAGGAGTTTATCATCTGCATATCGCAGGTTATTAATGAGTCTTCCTCCAATCCTGATGCTATGTTTTTCTTCATACAATCTAGCTTCTCAAATTATTTGCTCAGCATACAGATTGAGTAAGTATGGTGAAAGAACACAACTCTAGCACACACCTTTCCTCATTTTAAACCATTTGATGTTCCTTTGCTCTTTTCAAACAACTGCCTCTTGGTGTATGTGCAGGTTCCTCATGAGCTCAATTAAGCATTCTGGGATACTGATTCTCCACAATGTTGTCCATAACTTGTCATTACCCACACAATCAAAAGCCTCTGCATCGTCAATAAAGCCCAGGCAAACATCATCCCGGTGTTCTCTGCTTTCAGCCAAGATCCACCCGACATCAGTAATGATATCACTCATTCCACGTCCTCGGCTGAATCCAGACTGAACCTCTGGCAGTTCTGTGTCAATGTAAATTTGCAGCCATTTTTGGATTATCTTTTGCAAAATTTAACTTGGGTTAGGCGTACCTTTTTCCTCAGAAGAGTAGTTTTTCTCATGTAAGAGACACCCAAGTCATGTGTTGTTGTTAAGTGCCATTGAGTCAGTTCTGACTCATAGTGACCCTGTATAGGGTTTCCAAGGAGCAGCTGGTGAGCTTGAACTGCCGACCTTGAAGTTCAAACGGCTTTGCAGTCTGGCACATTAACCTACAGCGCCACACCAGGACTCCCAAGTCATGTAGGAGAATTTTTTTAAATTACTATTAAGCGAAATAACACTTAAACTATGACTTGACAGCAGTGGGAAACTTGGGTAACATAGGCAATGGCATTACTTCCAGGGCAGAGGAAACACAAAGACAGTTACACCTAAGAAATCCCATGATGAATTACATTCTAGTCAGCTCTTATTCATTTCACCTCTCTGAGCTCCTGATTCCTTACCTATGAAATGAGGACAGTAACACCTGCCTGTCCGTGCCAAGAGTTGTTGTGAACATTCAATAAAGAATATTAAAGTGCTGCATACACTAGGAAGTTTCATTATCGTTATAAAAGAGAAATATTGTGAGGGACTCTGAAGATTCAACTCTAATAGCAGTGTTTAAAAAAATACATGGGTCAAAGATGAAGTTTCAAGAGATATTTTTAAAGTATTTTAAACTAAATAAAAATACAACCTATAAGAATTTGCTGAATGCAACAAAAAGCAGCGCTTAGAGGGAAATTCATTGCATTAAGTATATAAGTTAGGAAAGAACAACTATTTCAAATTTTAAAAATGTAAGTTTCTACACCTAGTCTGCTGTTAAGTGCCATTGAGTGGTTCTGACTCATAGCACCTGTATAGGGTTTCTGAGAAGCAGCTGGCGGATTTGAACTGGCGACCTTTTGGTTCACAGTCCAGTGCTGATCCTACAGCACCACACCAGAAGTCCGGTAAGCTTCCACCTTAAGAAACTAGAAGAGTAAATCAAATCATAATAAAAAGCAGAAAGAAAAAAACAGTAAAAATTAGAACCCAATAAATACAAATAATACATTAAAAAAAATAGGAAAAAAAAAATCAATACCTTATTCTTTGCAAAGATCACTAAAATTGTCAAACTACTAGCCAGGCTAACCAAGGGATAAAAGAGAAGACACAGTTACTAATATCAGAAATGAAAGAGAGTTCATCACGTCTGATCTCAGGAACATTAAACGGATAGTTTTTAAAAAACACGTTTTCCCACAAATTCCTGTTGTTGCTCTTGTTGGGCTCCATCAAGTCAACTTCAACTAAAAGTTACAAGGGTATATCAAAATACTTTGTTACAAAATCATAGAACCCTTCAACCAAAATATCAAAATGTAAAGCTATAGCTTCCGAACATATTCTCCATCTAGGTCGATACACTTTTAAAGACTGTGTTTCCGTCTCTCTTACCCTTCCCCCCAGAATTCTGTGCTTTTTTATTTGAACCACATCAAAATAGCAGTTTAGGCATCCTCAAAGGACTCAAACCATAGTCCTTTTCGATGTTCTTTGAATTTTGAGAATAAAAAGAAATCTGGAAGGGCAAGATCAGAGCTGTAAAGTGGATGGGGTAAGGTTTCCTAGCTAAATGATTTTAGACAGCCCTGGCTACCCTCAAAGAATAAGCAGGTATATTGTCAGGAGGGAAAATAAATTCTAAAACTTCTTCCTAGTTAGCCCCCATAATCTTCCTGTGTCCTTCAAGAAAACCTATCAAGATTATCCCTTTGAAAGCACTATAACCATTACTATAATCTTCCAAGCTGACCTCTTTGCCGTGAATTTAACTGGCCCCGCAGAACACCTTATATTGGAGACTTAGTCTAGTTAAGATTAAGACAAATGTATTACTGAAAGAACTTGTCTGCAGTCATCCACTGATCGAAGAGATGTGTTTAAACGTGTTTCATTTGGAATAAACCTGTACATGTATGAATTGGAACCTTACTTTTTGACTTACCTTCATTACAGTACTATGTGGCAAAAAGAATCCTACCCTAGCTTTGCTGTATGCCATGTTGCCTCCACAGGCCTCAGTTTCCTCATCTGTAATATAAGTAACTTAGATGGAGGACACTGAAATCCCCTCCAATGCTGACATTTTATTCTTAAGTTCCCTTTAAAATCTAGTTGCCAGTAACCAGCACATGGCTTCCCACTCCCAACCTACTTTTCAATTCATCCTTAACCTTTACCTTGGCTGACAAAGTATAAAAGTAATCAAGAACAATAGACAGCCCATGGCACGCTTCCTGTTTTCCTCCATCCCTTCTGCAGACCCACGGTGCCCAACCATTCCAAGCTCAGGCATGGGGCAGGGCTGCTGGGCAGTTAAGCGTTCTGCCCAGAGGCCAAAGGGAGTCCTGAGCTCAGCCAACTTTGTTTAGGTTTGAGGTGTGCTGGGATGAACGGCACCCTGGAAGTAGAAAGCACAGCCATTAATTAATTAATTGCAATTGAGGGTTGGTTCTAAAGGGCGATTCCTTTGAAATTACTTTCCATCAAACAGTAACTGTTGCTAAGACAGCAGATATTCAAACCATTCTCTATTTCCTCAGCACGAGTATTTTCATTCCAGAATTTTAAGATTCTGGTCTGTTCTGACTGGCTGTGCTCTTGTGAATCTCTCCCCCAACCCTTTCAGTAAAGCTGGGATATATATGTGTGGGTGAATAGGTGTGTACTTAGTTTCTGTTCTTATAAGGAAATCTATAGCAGACCAAATAACCCTTTCATGAACTTTAATCTTGTTTCAAGTAGATGGACAATGGGAAAACTATACTGAAAGATTAGCAAGACACCTGAGACTAATACCCACCTACTGCTGTGGGTCACACCCCCAGTGACAACTAGAAGGGAGGAAGAAAACTAGCACATTGATGTGGCTCTAAACAACAACACTGTGTGTATGCCCGGGGCACTGTGGATTGACCAAGAGGAAACACATGTTTCACAATGATATGATCTTGTTGGTACAGTTGTCAGAGAAGGGAACTCCCACAGACAGCAAAGGGCATAAAACCATCCTGGGCAGTCTGGGACGACTCAGTTCTGTGGTGACAGGGAGCAGAGCACAACCCAGCCCTGCTCCACATGCAGAAGGGACTATGAACTCCAGCCAGAACTTCAGCCAGACCACCTCAGGCTTCCTCCATGGCACGGGAAGAGGCCAGGGCTGGCTGGGCTGCTTCCCTCGAGCCCCCAGCGTTCATGGTGGAGCAGGGGGCATCCGTATCTCCCTGTCCTTCATGAAGCCAAACTGCCTACCCCCAGGAGGGTCATGGGGATCCCAAAGCAGTGAGTCCCTCGTAGGTGGGAATGGGAAAGCGATGTTGCAGAACCTCAACCAGCGCCTGGCCTCCTACCTGGAGAAGGTGCGTGCCCTGGAGGAGGCCAATGAGAAGCTGGAAAGTCACATCCTGAAGTGGCACCAGCAGAAGGACCCCGGCAAGAAGCAAGATTACTCACACTATGAAGAGAACATCAGTCACCTGCAGGAGCAGGTAAGGTCTTGGGTGATGCTGGGGCTGGAGGGAGACACAGCTGCCAATCAGTACCGATCACAGTTTCTTGGAAAATGGCAGGTGCAAATGTGCACAAAGGTGTTTGAAGATCTTTTCTTATTTACACTTTAAATTTGGGCTTGGGCAAGTCTGTTTTGTGTAGTTAATCTTCTAAACATAAATTGTGTGGTAAGTGAAGGCAGTAAAACTTAGAGGAATGCTAAGAAGACTGTTTTTTAAATGAGGTAACTTGACTTTTCATACACACAAAAAACTTTTTTAAGTGTAAAGTAATGAGCTGATGTCCAATATCACTTCTGATCCAGTGACGTAATAATGGGGCAAGACCCAGGGTCCACTTTTCATCCTCAGTGCACAAGGCACAGCTGAGGACTGGCTTCTTCATTGCCTCTCTCGGTCCTTCCTCAGAGACCTAGAGGCAATGTGCTTAGATCCACCCATGAAAGACTGAGTTATACCACTTTGGAGATGACACTTAAAAGCTGTCACTCCACTAGCAGATGCCATGTTAACATTCCTGTGGGCTGCTAGAATAGGGGCTCACAGTCTAAGAATGGCATATTTTCTAGAAAAAAATAAATGAGCATAATTACAGAATCTGAAGACTCACTTGGGATAGGTGTGGATAAAAAAAAATTTATTCTGAAAAAAAATAGGAACTTTTCAACTAAATAAGTACTTATTCTAAAAATGAAGTAACTTACCAACCAAACATCAGACAGTTAAGCTCACACTTTCTGGGACATCCCATAATAATGACTAGAAGCGGAGGGAAACCTGCTGCTGTTAAGCATTGTCAAGTCGGTTCTGACTCATAGCAACCCTGTATAGAGTTTCCAAGAGCCTTCGTTTGGCACTGTAGGATAAATCACTGGACTGAAAAGTCAGTTTGAACCATAGAGTTGGTGGTTCAAGCTCACCAGCTGCTCCTTGGGAACCGTATACAGGGTCGCTATGGGTCAGAACTGACTCAACGGCACTTAACAACATAGGGTTTCCAAGGAGCCGCTGGTGAATTTGAACCACCAACCTTGCAATTCAAACCGACCCTGCGGTCCAGTGTGGTATCCCACAGTGCCACTCTAGTCACCCCCTAAGTTATTTTTAAGACTATAACTGGTAGCACATTGGGCTGCTGACCAAGAAGTCGGTGGTTTGAACCCAGGAGAGCTAAGTGACGGTCGGCTTCCAGAAAGATCTCCAGCCTCAGAAACCCTCTGGAGCAGTTCTACTCTGTCCTATGAAGTCACTATGAGATGAGGCAGTGGGGTGTATGGGAAATTTCCACCTGTATAAAGCACTCCCAGAACATTCTTTGTAAGATTATGATTAACCTACCCTTCAAAAGGGCACCACAGGTCTCTAATATTTACAACACTCAGTTGTCCTTGCTTGAATGTAGGAAGAACCAATCAAGATAGTATAAATCTGTCCTCGTAATGAACCCTAATTATAGAATAATCAGCCTAATACCTGACTGGATAATTACCTTAACTATATAGTGCATGGTTGTCTTTACGAAAAAAAACAAGATGACTCAACAATCTTCACTATGTTTGCTGTTTAATGAAGGTGCTTTGGTTTTAGAAGGAAGAGAATAGAAGACTTTTGAAAATGGACAGTTGAGTAAATAACTCCCAAAAGAGGTGGTGAAATTGTTATTATCTGACAGAAGAGAGAAAGGGGAAGTATTTATTGTGTGCCAGGCACTGTGCTGGGCATTTAATCTGCATATCAGTAGAGCTTTCTGCAGCGATGAAAGCACTGTGATTTAGTTCACACAACAACCCAAAGAAGCTGAAACTCAGAAACATTAACCAAGATATCCAAAGCCACCAGCAAGAAGCAGAGGTGGGATTCTAACAAAGATCTCTTTCCAAAGACCTGGAACTTTCCACTACAATGTGGTGCTGACTAGCCTATCTCCTACATAAATAATACTATTAACAAAGATAATACATGCATTGACATTTGAAACATATAAGGCATAGTTCATACACATTTTCTCACTTAAATCTCACGACTCTGTAAGTAGGTATCTATAGATGAGCAGAGACTACATGGTTGCCTAAATTCTTGGAAACAGGGCAGAGAAAGGTGAATGGTGGTGATGAGGCTGAAGGGACACCTGGCTCATTTTCCAGGCAGCCCAGGATTCCAGGCCCTAAGATTCAATGTGCAGCTTCTTCAGCTTCAAATGCCACACATACTTCTTTTCTGGTTTTCCTACTTCAGTCATATTGTCTTTGTGTTAGAAACCAGGGCAACTCTTTGAAATCCTGGTGTCTATCAACCCCATTTACAGATGATAGAAGAGAAGACCCTCAAATAAACAGACACAGACAATTACCGCATGCTGGAAGACCTCCCTGAGCCTTGCTAAAACAAAAACTCCTTCCCTCTTTTGGGGATCTTAAATATTATTCAAGAAGAACATAAAAAGTTGAGTTTAAAAATTAAGTCAATCCCTTTGAAACACAGACTGGAACACAGAATATTTAAAATCAGGAAAGGTGTGTGCCAATGTTGTATCCTTCCACCATATTTATTCAATGTTTGTTGTTGTTTGCTGTTGCCAAGTCAGTTTCAATTCATAGCGACCCTACCCTATACAGGGTTTCCAAGGAGCAGTTGATGGGTTTGAACTGCCGACCTTGTGGTTAGCCGTCCAGTTCTTAACCTACAGTGCCACACCAATCAATCTGTATATATCAATCGGTATTTCCTCAAATCTGAGAAGTTGCATTATCTGAAGGAAAACATGACATCACAATTGGAGGAAGACTCACTGACCAAACTGCGATATGCAGATGATACAACCTTGCTTGCTGTAAGTGAACAGGACTTAAAATACTTACTGATGACAGCCTTCGGTATGAGTTGCACCTCAATGTAAAGAAGACAAAAATCCTCACCACTGGACCAAAAAACAATAGCCATATAAATAGAGAAAAATTGAAGTTGTCAAAAACGTCATTTTGCTCAGATCAACCATTAACACTCATGGAAGCAGCAGTCAATAAATCAAATGATTCCTTGCATTTGGATTAAGCAAATCTACTGCTCAGGACCTCTTTAAAGTGTGAGGGCTAAGGTGTGCCTGCCCCAAGTCATGGTATTTTCAGTAATCTCATGTGCATGTGAAAGTTGGACCGTGAATAAGGAAGACCAGTTGAGTTATGGTGTTGAAGGAGAGTATTGAAAGTTCCATCAACTGTCAGAAGACCAAACAAAGATGTGTTGGTAGAAGTCCAACCAGAATGTTCCTTAGAAGGCATACTTTGGACATTTTATCATGAGGAACCAGTTCACAGAGAAGGTTACCATGCTTGGTAAAGTGGAGTATCTGTGAAAAAGAAGACCCCAACAAGATGGTTAGAAAGTATGTGTACATGAGGTCGTTGTAAGTTTGAACCAACTCAGCAATGCCTAACAACAAATATCACAGAATGTTACAGATTAAAACCCCTTAAATGGCTCTCAGTATTTGGTATTTTGGTTCTTTTTCAAAAATTCTATTTTCCTCTCTCTAGTAGGAGATTATGCACCCAGCCAAAATGATGCTGCATTAATATACCAAGTATATCTTTTAAAAGAATGAATTCACAGCCTTGGGGAGAGTTCAGGTGATTAATTACAACATATAATGTAAAACCTCTGCCTCATATATTATTTCTCAATCAATTCTCATCCATTCATTACTATAAAAGATGTCTCAGAAATAGTGCCACTGTTATAATATTATACTAAGTATGCTCAAACAGCGGGGAATAGTTATAGCTTTTAAATATGATCTATTATCAAATGAATGCAGAACTCACCACTCATGTACTATAAGAATGCTGGCCTGGGAAATCAGACTATTGACATGGGCTTTGCAATTGACAAGTTACCAGTTTAACTCACCAAAGTCAAATTGTCTTAATTTTCCAGTTCTATGGTATTTATTGTACATGGTTTTTCTGCATGTCAATCAGTACCTCATAACCATTTGTCATCAAGTTCATTCTGACTCATGGTGACCCCGCAGGTGTGTCAAAGTAGAACTGCGCACGGTAGGATTTTCAAAGGCTGGTTTTTTTTTTCAGAAAATAGGCTAACTCAGTACACAAGTTAGTATATAGTTTTATATTGGTTCTAATTACAAAAGTGCTAGATTTTAAAAGAGAAAGTGATTTCATTTACATTCCTCTGAACTAATTCAGTTTCAACAGGTTTTTCTAAGTACCTAAGTGTGCCAAGAATTTGCTCAGTATTTACAAAATGACTTTGTTTAATCTCTTCTGATGTCATTTTTAAAACCCTTTGATGAAGCAGCTGTTATTCTCCAGGAAGAAATGGAGACTCAAATAAGGTCACTGAGTTCATGGGTGGGAGCAGCATCCAGCTCCACTCTTTGGGATCCAGATCCACAGTCCTTAGCACCTGTGAATACCGCAATTGTGCATTCATGATATCAAATTCCATGAAGCCAGTGAAGCTTTAAGTGGGAACAGATTTCTAAAAGGTGTCTTTGTATGGAGGTATAACTTTGTCCTAAGAAAATCCTTTCTAAATAAAGGCATTCACTGTACAAATACAATGGAATGTCACAGGATTCCTCTGGCTTCAACTAAATTAGCAAAGGGTAGAACTGGGACTTGTGAAGTCCAAGCTTGTTTCTATGCTAGCACCAGCTCATTTAATAGATGATAAAGTTCAAGTCCAGTGAGTAGCCCACAGTTACACCAAAGGTCAGTAACACACATCCAAGAACCAACAGCTGTTTAGGATCCTAGTTTAACCTTCTATCTGATGTAATACTTTTGACCTTGAAACAATTTTGTTTCATTTTCCTACAAACAGCGAACATACATCAAATATTCACTATTTCTCAGCTATAATATACTATAAAATGTCCTGGTGTGAGGCCGTGGGATAAAGCACTGGACTGCAAGGTCAGTTTGAACCACAAGATCAAGCAGTTCAAACTCACCACCCACTCCTTGGAAAGCCTATTCAGGGTTGCTATGAGTTGGAACTGACTTGATGGCACTTAAAAACAACACAATATACTAAAAGAATTTACAAATCACATATGCATATACAATCACTTAGATAAACATTTTCAACAATCTTTTTCTTTTTAAGTGAAAAAAGTACATAACTATCTATTGAAAGTCTTTAGCTGGAGACTTTAACACAGTTAAATATTATTAAGTTATTTCTTTAGATGGCAAAGAAATATTCCAGTTTCTAAGACTTGCTGTTGTTGTAGTTAAATGCTGTCAATTGTTTCCCACTCATAGCAGTTCTGTAGAGGGCTTCAGAGGAACAGCTGTGGGATCTGAACCACTGACCTTGCAGTTGTCAATCCAGTGCTTATCCTACAGTGTCACACACCGGGACTCAATTAATACGAGAAGGCTTCAAAAAGTTCATGGAAAAATTCCCATTATCTTTTAACTCCATGTTTCCATGGACTTTTTTTAAGTCCCCGTGTATTTTAATAGCTTACATTGAGGAACTTGCATCACAGAGTAAACTACAAACACACACATATACCTACATGTTATGTGTCCAGCTGTGTAGAAACTTGGGCGGGGGGAGTGTGCTATGTGATGACTATTATGAAATACATTTTAAATTTCTTTGTCCATAACAACTGTAAGGATGGCACCGGACTGGGCAGGCCTTTATTTCATGGTGCATAGGGTCGCTATGAGTTGGAACCAACTTGACAGTACCTAAACAATGACAATAGTTTTTACAGATCTAATATTTTGTCAAATTTTAATCCTGAGTAAACAACCAATAGGGTATCTAAAATTAATAACTAACCAAAATTGGTTTGTCAACTCTTTAATAACACTGATAAAAAAAACATGATGCTTTAACAAGGAAGAATTATGTTAACTTACGATGATTACAAAGTGGTTACTTTGGAGATATGAGCTAATATTCAACATAAGACCAAGGTCACAGCTTAAACTCTGTTTTTCCTCTTCAGATGTGGGTAAGCATAAGCAAAATGCAAAGACATATTCATGATATTAGAAAGTCAAAAGTTATTCTGAATAATTATTCTTTCGTCTTCCTTTAGAAACCATCTTTTAAATTATCAGTATAAAAAGAGGTGGTCAAATTGACTGCAAACCCTATCTTTTCATACTATAAAATCATTCTTGTACTTCACACCTAGTTATTGTTAAGTGTAGTAGGGTCAGTTCTGATTCATAGGGAGCCTGTATAGGGTTTCCAAGGAGTGGCTGGTAGGTTTTAACCTCCAACCTTGCAGTTAGCAGTCCAGTGCCACACCAGGACTCCTCAGACCTAGTAGGTGCTCAGTAAACATTTATTGGTTTGATTCCTCATTGTTCCTTGCCAGAAAGAAAAGTTGTCTGTGCTAATAAGTCTGTAGAGGTTGGAAACTAGAGGGCTGAGATGCAGGTGTCCTGTGTGAGTGTGCCCACATACAATGACTCTCACTGTGTGTTTGACAGATAACAGATGGTAAAATGGCCAATGCTCAGATCAGTCTACTCATTGGCAATGCCAAGATGGCAGTGGATGACTTCAGTCTCAAGTAAGTTCCTTCTCCATAATATGTTTTGTTTTTATTACTTTGTTGTTGATATTTCTAGAAAAGGGAAACATATCTTACCACTATCTAAAATGTTACTAAATTAAAACCAAATGCAATGTATGGCATTTGACTTGGACCCTAGTTTAAACAAACCAACTATAAAATACCTTTTGAAGTCAAATGGGGAAATTTGATTATGAACCAAGGATTATCCAAAACCCACTGCCCTTAAGTCAATTCTGGCTCAAAATGGTCCTATAAAAGAAAATAAAATCAAGGATCAATCCTATCCTCTCTGTACACAGGGTTGCTAGAGACAGGCAACTTAGACACTGGCTACCTAAAATTGAGGGGGTGGCCAATAAAGGCATCAAGTGACTGACTTACAAGTTTTCAAGAGGGAGTTTAGTTTCAGAGTGTGCAGGGGAAGGTAGAATCCCCACTGAATAGTTTTCATCTTGTTTAGACAGGTCTGGTGAAAGGAGATGGGGATAAGATTCTTATGATTCAATAATGAATAATTGTCATTATGACTAATTGTGACTGTTACAACTGTAAAGGTAGAGGTTGGGTAACAAAAAGGAGGGAGTTGTTAATCTTACAATCCAGGACCAGAGGACCCTAGGACCATCAAGGGAGAAGAGCACAGGTGTAACCTGGGACTCTAACCAGAGAAGCAGCAACACAAGGAGATGGAGGCAGAGGTGATGACATGGAAAGATAGAGCAGCTGAGTACTCCAGATAATGAATAGAGAAAGGCTGTATGCTGGCAGCCAGGAGGCAGGCTTACAGAATGTACCCTTTGCTTGAATGATTATATAATCCTGAGTGGTTTTGTGTACATTAAAAAAAAAAAAAAATGCACACACACACACACAGAGGAAATAGAAGCAAATACTGTTGAATGATGATGTATGAAGGGGATTGTAATCATTGCAATGAAATGAAATATAACAGGATGAGTGTAGAACTGATGCTCTCCAATGTAAACCATCACTCAATTCACTATAAAAACTTAAAAAGAGAGAGAAAGTAAAACTGTCTCACAGGGTTTCCAAACTGCTTCATCCTTCTCTCAAAGAGGGGCTGGTGGGTTCACACTATCCATCTTTCAGCTGGCAGCTGAGTGCTTTAAATACTGTACCACCAGGACCCTGAACCAAGCATTGTTGTTGTTCTGTGCCATCGAGTTGGTTCCAACCCATAGCTACTCTGTATGGGGTTTCTGAGGAGCAGCTGGTGAGCTTGAACCACTGACCTTGAGGTTCAAACCAACTTTGCAGTTCAGCACATTAACCCACAGTGTCACTCCAGGACTGTGAATCAAACATTGTTGTTGTTGTTGTTAAGTGCCATCAAGTCAACTCTGACCCATAGCGACCCTGTGTAGGGTTTCCAAGGAGCAGCTAGTGAGCAAGCATTAGCTGATATCAAAGAGTTACCAATTTTTAGGTAGTGATAACAATGGTATTATGACTAGAAACACCTTTTTTCTTAGAAAAAAAATTTTAGAAAAATATCTTTTTCTAAAAGATGTGTCTTAAACTTTCAAGTGATATCATAATGTTTACCAAAAGCAAAAACACCACCAACAGTTGCCACGACGTTGGATCAATCCCATGTGTTCAGAACAGCCCTGTGCTCCACAGGACCGCTTAGAAATAGACCATATTGTTTTTCCTAGACACCTCTGGGTGGATCTGAACCGTTAACCTTACAATTAACATTCAAGTTCTTTCATTTGTGCTACCAAAAACTCCCCATAATATCTACAATGAATTGTTAAATACTTCAGCAAAGAATACAGATGAGGTAATATGACAAAATGTTAGTACTTGCTAAGTCTATATGATAGGCATGTGGTGGTTTGTTATTCTGTTCTCACTATGCGATTTAAAAACTAATCTTCAGTCCAAATCATAGAGACATGTAGCATGGAACAGACATACAATGCATTTGTTGTTGTTAAGTACTGTGGAGTCGGCTCCTACTCATAGTGACCCTGCACAGGGTTTCTGAGGCTGTAAATCTTTACGGGAGCAGAACGCCTCATCTTTCTCCTGTGGAACCACTGGTAGTTTCGAACTGCCGACCTTCCTGTTAGCAGCCCGATTCGTAATCATTATGCTACCAGAGATCCTTTTACAAAGCATTAGATGTATTCATTTGCTCTCATAAAGCCTAAAATGGAAGAGCTTAGAACCTGATGAACAGAAATCCTTACAAATGCAGCCTTCTAACAATTGGCATAGAGTCCTGATGTGGCACTGTGGGTTAATGCACTGGATTGCTAAGTCATTTTGAACCACAAGGTCGGCATTTCAAGCCTACCAGATAGATGTTCCTCAGAAACCCTATACAGGGTCAGTATGGGTCGGAGCCGACTTGACGGCACTTAACAACAACAACAACTGGTGTGTGCTTCCCTTCTAACCACAGGTATGAAAATGAACACTCCTTCAAGAAAGACTTGGAAATTGAAGTTGAGGGCCTCCGGAAGACCTTGGATAATCTGACCATTGTCACAACAGACCTAGAACAAGAGGTTGAAGGGATGAGGAAAGAACTCATACTTATGAAGAAGCACCATGAGCAGGTAGAACTCCCCAGGCACACATTAACCTCCATAACCACATCCAGATGCCAGGCGTACTGTCCTGCACTTGCAGAATCATAAACCAAATTAAAAATGAGTCGACATCAAGTTAACTCCAGCTCATGGTGCCCCCAGAGTGTCAGACAGAGTTGTGCTCCACAGAGTTTTCAGTGGTTGAATTTGGGGAATAGTCATGGATCACCACATATTTCTTGCAAGGTGTCTCTGGATGCATTTGAACCACCAACCTTTTGGCTCGCAGCCGAGCACAGTAACCATGTGCATTACAACCAAGGATACAATTTCTCTTTTGTTTTCTTCTGTAGCTTCAAGCTTAGCTACTTGATCCAAAGGTCCATAAAAATCAATGAGAAATTGTTCAACAATTTTGTTAACAACACAAAATGTTTATCTAGACTTGTTTGTTAATAGGATACTCTAAGAATAAATGTGTCAGACTGAGCTTCCTTCATTGACCTAGTGTGAAGCAAACTGCAGGAAAATAGCATAAAGAGAATATGAGCACTGACCAAAGCAAATAAGACTAGAGGCAAAAATTGCGAATCCTAACTGCTAGAAGCGTTTAGCTGACTTTTAAAAAGGTACCATCCGAGTTCCCTGAGAGTTTGATAAGATGATGCAAAAACAATTCCCATTTTAAGCAAATAAAATTGCTTCTGAACATCAAAGCAGTCTTGTTTCCAAACAGTTGCTTGTACAATGACTGTTACCTAAACCTTTCCTGCGGCTGTGTGGTTTTCATGATATCCTATGGGTGTTAGCCTTACAGAGTCACTGTGCATTTGGCAAGATGCTAAAAGTCTCTACACCTTTTGGCTTTTAGTTACTAAACTGCTTCTCAAAAATTTTGGGTTACAACCTGAAATGTTTGCCTGGTTAATTGCATAATCACATCACCAATGAATAATATTTCCTGAGCAGGACTTTACACACTATGTAAGCATAATTCTTTCCAGAAATTTTTTGAACCAAGGATTAAACAGCAGTCACAAAGGCCATTTAATTACTTGCCTAGTGTTATTCTTTGGCTTATACAATTATAAGAGAAAAAGATCATATAATATTTTGTCATCGACAGAGTAGTACCTGAGAAACAAAACACAGCCAGTGAAAAGTTAGCAACCACATAAACAGAATTTTTAAAATATCCACTTACTGCTGCAAATCAATATACTTCCTGCCTTCTGGTTGTCACAGATGATTCCCTTTCTATCTCTGTCATTAAACAGGAAATGGAGGAACAGCATGTGCCAAATGACTTCAAGGTCAATGTGAAGGTGGATACAACCCCAGGGGAAGATCTGATTAAGATCTTGGAGGACATGAGGCAGGAATATGAGTTTATAATAAAGAAGAAGCATCAAGACTTGGACACTTGGTTTAAAGAGCAGGTAAAACAAAGGTGCTCAAACATTATCTAGAGGTGCTATTGCCATATGTTCCCAAGGCCAATGCCTGCTGCCCTTTGCTTGGTCTTACAGTCTGCAGCTATGTCCCAGGAAGTGGCCAGTCCAGCAGTTGTTCAGAGTGGCCAAAGTGACATCCATGAGCTGAAGCGGACTTTCCAGGCACTGGAGATTGACCTGCAGGCACAGTACAACAGGGTGAGTCCAGACGAGGACATTCCAGGGCCAGGTACCACCTCCTCCATGAAGCCTTCCTTGACTTCTCTCCCCAGCCCCAACTCCTCACTTCTCTTGGAAACATCTCTCACTTTCCACTGTCCATCCAAATTGCTCATAATAAGAATAACAATTGTTGTTGCTGTTAAGTGTCATTGAGTAGGTTCCGGCCCATAGCGACCCTGAGTGACCGCAGTATACCACATGTTGTGCCTGGTAGTTAATCATACTAAATGTGATTAATTCTCACATTAAACTTATCAGGTAGGTCTTAGTGGCTGTGGCCGTGTGCCATGAAGTCGGTTCCGACTCATTAGCGACCCTGTACAGGGTTTCCAAGGCTGCAAATCTTTACAGGAGCAGAAAACCTCATCTTTCTCCCACGGAACAGCTGGTAGTTTCGAACTGCTGACCTTGAGGTTCACAGCCCGATTCGTAACCACTATGCTACCAGAGGTCTTTGTACCTGGAACTAAAAATCCAGATGGTGAAATAAACTAGCCAAGGTCACACAGCTCCTAAGTGACCAGTGCTGAAATCACATGGCCCGCTTGACACTCAGTCTTGCTATGCCTGTCAAGTTGGTCCCAACTCATAGTGACCCCACAGGACAAGGTAGACGTGCCCATAGAGTTTCCAAGGTCATTTTTACAGAACCAGATTGCCATCTTTCTCCCATGGAGCATTTGGTGAGTGCGAACCCCCAACGTTTTGCTTAGCAACTAAGCACTTAACTATTGTGTCACCAGGGCTCCTAGGAGAGCTGTTGTTGTGGTTGCTGTCCAGTCGTTCTGACTCATAGCGATGCTCTATAGGGTTTTTGAGGAGCTGCTGGTGGATTTGAACCACTGACCTCATGATCAGCAGTCCAGTGCTTATCCTATAGTGCCACACCAGGACTCCAATCAATAGTGTACCTGGGGTTATTTAAAGCACACTGTCCCAGCCCCACAAAGCTTTTCTGGGCTCCAGGCAATATCTTCCCAGTTCTAGTCACATAGATAATTTATTGTTGTTAAGTGTTGTCAAGTCGATTCCAACTCATAGTGACCCTGCTTTCTAAGAAGCAGCTGATGGGTCTGAACCATTGACCTTGCAGTTAGCAGCCCAGTATCTATCCTACAGCGCTACACCAGGACTCTGGGAAAGCGCTACACCCTCATAATCTCTATGGCCAGAAGAAATAGAACATGTGTATATGAAGGCAAACAACCGTTCAATTCAAGGCAGCAAATACCCAATCTCAAATGACCAACAACAAGCCTACAGAAGTATAGCTAAGTGGCCAAGAGTTCCCGGATACAAAAGTTTGAGCACAAAAAACAGAGCTTCCAAAGCTTCGACATGCTCAATGCCAGATTGCCCAAGTCCCAAACCTGCCAATCAGCCTGCTTCTTTCTCACCTTTGTATTCCCAGCAGCTAGCCCACTAACTAGCAGAGTGAGCAACACAGTGTAAGTCTTCAATAATGCAAGTTACAGCCTCATTGGATGTTCAATCAATTAATGAAAGAACTGTCTGTTTCAGAAATCCGCTTTGGAAAACATGCTGTCAGAGACCCAGTCTCGGTATGCCTGCCAACTCCAGGACATGCAGCAAATCATCTCCCACTACGAGGAAGAACTGAGGCAGCTCCGCCGTGACCTGGAGCGTCAGAACAGTGAATACAAGGTCCTCTTAGGCATCAAAACCCACCTAGAAAAGGAGATTGCTACCTACCGCCAGCTCCTGGAGGGAGAGACTGAAGGGTAAGGCAAAGACTGGAGGGAGAGAAGGACGCAAACAAAGGGTCTCCAAATCTAGTGTGTACATTCATGTCCCTGACGGGTTCTGTTACTAACTGTCCACGAAGAAACAGTTTGTGTTGAATTTCTCATGAAGATACTTACATCAGGTTATATTTCATTACGCAACAAGCGTGAATTAGTCAGCTGTGGTATTATTGCTCCACAAACGCTAAAGTTTGAAGTTGGAACAGTTAAAATTCATATATTGATATACCTGCAAAGAAACAGCTAAGATGGTTTGGCTACAGTGTTGTTTTCCAGTGAGAACACATTCAATTCTGGTTCAAATAAATAAAAATAAAAAGGAACGTCTTAGCCTAACAGTAGGAAAAGATTCATATGAAACTTAGATGCCTGTCCTTTCAACCTAGTATTTCTAATTACTCAGGAATGGCAATGGCAGACCACATTAGGGGTTCATACATTGCATGACCTAAGAGAAGAGGTTAGAAGATGTTTCAAAAGGCACAAATAAAAAGCCATTGGGCCAAACTTTGAACAGTTGGGAATCTCAGAGTGCAGGGCTTAAATCCAAGAGACTGGACAGGGCTGGAGGCAAAACCCACACCACCTGAAAGAAGGGTATGGCGGACTTCCCCTGACCCTAGGGCTAAGTTGGAGGCAGTACCCTCTGCCTTCTGGGTGGGGAAGGATTCTCCCATGAACTCCTAACCTTGCGATAACCTACCATAGCCAATTATCTTCATTAAAGAGCTGAGAATTTACAAGCAGACAAAGGAAGTTAGTTCATCCTGAGTTTTTGCAATTGTTGCTAATACTAAAATGAACTTTAACCTTTATCACTTCTATAGGGTAATGGAAGAATCTAAGTCAAGTGTGAAAGGTAAGAAAAAAATCTTTCATTGTTTAAATCGACTCATTTTCTAATGCAGCAGCGTGTTCTTTTATCCATTCTGTAATAGTCATAATTCTCAGCATATACCCAAAGGTACTGGTTAATCTTACTCCCGAATGACATGAATTTTGAATAAATGAATTATGTAATACAAAGTCAGCTCTCAATATTGTCCTCACCAACATATATGAAAGTTCTTTTCAAGCCGTACAGCAGATAAACAGTATCATTATTACTATGCCTCTATTAAATACAGGATTGGACAGCATTTCCTTGTTAGATATAAGCTCACTACGAGTTGGACCTAACTTGACACCAACTAACAAAGCACTAAATAATGGCATCTGTTTACTAAACTCCTGGAAAATTAAGAACTGATTCCACATAATTTCCCAGATTATAGTCTGTTGAATATTAGTCTTCTGTGAGATTTTAATAGTGTGTTATGAAAGAAGTTTGAGAAAATTATGTACCATTATCCTACTCTCAAAGAGTCAGGTTTCATTTCAATATATTAATGACTGAACAATTAGAGCTGTCGGGAGGAAGTGGAATAAGAGAGGTAAAGAAGCAACAGCAAAGACTTTAATTTGTTCCACCCAGTTCTCCCAAACTTCTTTGACCTGGGAATCATATTTTCTCAGATTATCTTTACCATCTCATAGACAATCCCAGGGAACCAGAGTTTAGGGTAGGTTGTGCTTTCTGATTAATTTGTAGCAGAAGTGTTCCAAGGCACTAGAAACTTAAAGAGTCAAAGTTGGAGGAATCATCACATGACACAGCTGGTCTAACTGGTTCTCCTCGGTAAGACCCTGACAGATGGTCCTTCAGTTTCTTCTTATTCATGTCTAGGGATGGTGAACCCATTACTTTATAGGGTGGCACAGTCTACAGTTGGAGAGGTTTGATTTTAAAATTCTCCTCTATATGTCTACTAATGCTTCTAATTCTGTCATCTTATATAGAATTATACTAGTGGGTTGTCAACAAGGCATCTATTCCAATATGTCATATCTTTGAGAACAATGGCCATGACAAACACGGGTTTCTTGCCCATCCCTCATCTGGCATATTTTCTAGACTCGTGACTGCCCTCAGCCCACGTAGGTGCATTAATGTCCCTCTTAAAATGAGGTGCCCCCAAGGGCATTTAATGCTCTGTAAAATCATAGAATTTGTGGCCAAAGCACTACAAAACTCACACAGGGAGAAAGGACTTCTGCAGTCAGAGACTAGATTACCCCAGCATGCACACCTAAGAGGAGCTTGACCATATATCCTCATTTTCTGGAGAATGAGAGGAAAAACCTTCCTTTGTAATGGTTCTTTCCCTACTGAAGAACCTGCCATGTCGCTTAGTGATCACTTTGGAGGGAATGGAAATCCAGGGACCTGAAAGTACGGTTAGATGGTGGAAGGCGCATGGCAGTGATCTCTTCATTGCTTCTTTCCCTCAGTGTCTACAGCTCCAAAGATCAAGGCCATCACACAAGAAAGCATCAATGGAAGAATAGTTCTTTCTCAAGTGAATGAAATCCAAAAGCATGCATGAAACTAATAAAATCTCTTGCTTGTTGTAAAAATAATTTGTTCTCAATGGGAAATTCTTGCCCAGCCACTCATGGTGAGAGTTCTGCTAAGAGGCACTCTTGGAGCCACCAAACTCAGACATTTGCATTTTCTCTGTTACAATCACCAAACTTTCACAATGATCTGAATACACTGTTGCACTTTTTTAATCAAGATACAAGCTTATGAGTTGAAAGCTCCATTTTTATACAACAGTCTTTGATCCTTACTTCTGTGCATCTGTTATGTAGCAAATAAACACATCAGCTACATGCACGTATATATGGCAAGACAGGAACTTAAGGTCTCATCCTAGCTAGAGATTCTCAGCCTTGGCTATGAAAGATTCACAAGGACTTCAGTCCCACCAAGTGTGTCTACAAGTGAACCAAGATCAGAACTGTTACCTTGCAGTCATGCAGCTTAGGGATGAGATGTGGCTCATGAAGATCTCAAGGTCCTTGTAAGCATTCCTGCCAGGAGAAAGGAGGGAAAATGACAGAGACTGGGAGGCCCAGAATGCCTCAGTGAAATGATTTATTGCACCTCACATTTAAAAAAATAAGAAGAAGAAAATCTGAAGGGTTTCAAAGAGAGTTAAAGCTAGAGAAAGGAATTCAAAAAGAAAGAAAGAAAAAACATTACAGACAGATACTACTAAGACCCTAAAAAGAGAAGAAACTCATCTAAGATCTCGATTGCAATACTTAGGGTCTAGCACATTATGCAGAGTGGCAGTAGGTGGCCAAAGCACTAAAACTGTCCACCTCTACCTCTAAAGAAGGTGCCATTCACCACTCAAATTGTAGCAGCATGTGCCATTGTTCCAAGATTAGTGCAGAGGAACAACGCTGGAGAGAAAGCAGAGACCCACACTTCCCATAAGCTATCATCAGAATGTTGCAAATGGAATCATAATATATTGCCAATTTAAGAGACCACAGAAACAGACTAGTCAATTTTCCCCATTTCACAGACATACTAGGGCCCACAGTGGTAAAGGTACTTACTTACCCAAACATTCACTGAATTGTTGCAATTGGGTTTAATTCCAGGTGTCTTGACTCCTGAAATCAGCTATTAACAAACTAAAAGTGGGTGTCATTTAGTTCCATTGGCATCTAAGATATTGACTGAATAGTCATTTTCTATTTCTATTTCATTTTCTATTTTCTATTTCTATATTGTAATACTATCTTGGAAAGAACTGCTATCAATATTTTTAATCTGGACATAGTTGCTAAAGCTGGGTACAACTTTCTTTTTTAAACCAGTAACTGGTATTTCTGATCCCTAATGCCCCAATCATAAAAAAAAGTAGCCCCTAACAATCTGAAAGTAGACAAAAAGAATCCAGGAAATCCATATGGTATAGAACACTAAATCCCCAAAACAAACAATGTCATAGAGTCAATTCCAACTCATAGCAATCCTATAACATGGAGTAGACCTGCTCCAGAGGGCTTCCAAGGCTCTAAATATTTACAGCAGCAAACAGCCTCATGTTTCTTCCAAGGAGTGGATGGTAGGTTTGAACTTTGAAAATGTGGTTAGCAGCCCAAGCTTAGCCCACTGTATCACTAGGGCTCCTTATGGTGTAAAATGAAATATGTTAATTCTCTGGTATAAATTATAAATGTATATTGTTTATTTCAAAGAACTTCCAAAATAATCGACACATAGACATTTTAATGAGTTTTCATTGTGCAGTATTTGCAGTGATTTCTGATGCTATTTGGTGCACGTGTAAGTCCATATTAGAATGTATGTATGTATTCTCTGGTCCTATTTCATTGAATTAAGAGAACTTCTTTATATTAAGAGGGATCTATCATCTCCAATTGGAGGAAGACTCATTAACAACCTGCTATATGCAGATGATGCAACCTTGCTTGCTGAAAGTGAAGACTTAAAACATTTACTGATGAAGATCAAAGAGCAGAGCCTTCAGTATGGATTATATCTCAATGTAAAGAAAACAAAAATCCTCACCACTGGATCAATAAACAACATTCTTATCAATGGAGAAAAGGACTTCATTCTTCCTGGATCAACTATCAACACTCATGGGAGCAGCAGTCAAGAAATCAAATGACATATTGCATTGGGCAATTCTGCTGCACAAGACCTTTTTAAAGTGTTGAAGAGCAAAAATGTCAGCTTGAGGACTAAGGTGCGCCTGACCCAAGCCATGGTATTTTCAATAACCTCATATGCATGTGAAAGCTGGACAGTGAATAGGAAGACCATAGAAGAATTGATGCTTTTGAATTATGGTGTTGGAGGAGAATATTGAAAGTGCCACAGGCTGCCAAAAGAATCAATAGATTCGGTTTGGAAGAAGTGCAGCCCGAGTGCTCCTTGGAGGCCAAGATGACCAAACTTCGTCTCTCATACTTCAGACATATTGTCAGGAGGGACCAGTCGCTGGCAAAGGATATCATGTTTGGTAAGGTGGAGGGTCAGAGAAAAAGGGGAAGACCTCCAGCAAGATGGATTGGCAAAGTGGCAGCATCGATGGACTCAAGCGTGGCAACAGTAGTGAGGTTGGCCCAGGATCGGGCAGTGTTTCGTTCTGCTGTGCATAAGGTCACTATGAATTGGGACCAACTCGAAGGCACCTAACAACAACAACAATATGGTTTCCAAGCACATCTAAAACTTCACCAATTCATTCTATTTTGACCATTATTGTCTCTTTCTTGGAATCTATAAAAAGTGCATCAACTATACATTTTTTTTTCTCCAAATGAATTCTGAACATTGAAGGCAAACTATTTCAAAGAATATTAATTAAAAACAAAAACATAGCAAGGTGAAGAAAAAGTTATAATGCCACATTAACTTCTCACTCACCAAAAGTTTATGTATGCTGGAATAGGAACAAACAAGATGGTGGATCAGGCGGACGTGTAGTACAGAGATCCGCCAACAACAACACAGAATACCCGACCAAGCAGGTTCAGGGGATGGTCCCAGAACTCTGAACCACATATAAAGGAATACTTAGAAGCTTGGAAGGCTTACAGCTGAGGGAATTTGTGGCAGAAGCAAGAAATCCATTGCTTTCTAGTCTGGGACGCTCAGCTGCTCCAGGAGCCACCATCTTGGGTAAGACCACTCGGAGGGAAGGATCAGAGCGGCCACAGATGCCTGGCAGAACCATGGAGATAAAGGTGTGGACATTCTTTTCTTTTGGTATCTATTCTTTGGTCCCTTGCTGTCTGTGCACCTCCATTCTGGTGACTATAGGGGTGCCTGA